ATGCCAAGCCTCTGGTTGAAAGCGAATGAATCGTGCTCTGATAGGAAACTTAAGTTCGTGATAAACAACAGAATCCTGGTCTTTGTTTCCAGCGAAATCCTACATTAGCAAAATAGTGAATCTTTAAAGCACTAATCACACGAGGTCAGCATGTGATAACTAAAAGTGTTCAGCCATAACGATTACGCACATTCAGTTTCTTAAGTATGTTGTCTCAGTGTCATTGATTCTGATAGTTGAATCAAGTATGTTAGGACTTATCTTGTCCATGCTTAAAACACTTTTAAGAGTTGATACAGCTATTGCTGGGTAAAAAAACAGTTAAGTGAGCTATACTATGTTGGTTGATGTCACCTAAAAAAATGAACAATAAACATAAAGAGTGGGCAGCACAATGGATTTCGTGCACACCTTAAAAGCGGTATGTCCAGGTTCCTTGTAGAACTGGAAGTTTACCCCATCGCTGCTGTACTGTAACTTATATTTCGTTACCCACTGGGCGTGCCGTCCGTTTCTCCCTTGTGTCGCAACACCCGTGACTCTGATGTTATTATTACGCAGATCAATCTGGAGCCACTGGCTGTTGTCATTTGTGCCGGCGGTCCAAGCGCCTGCCTTTACTGAAGTTGCATTTAAGTTTAGACGGCCTCGGCTGGCAGCATGAACCTCGTCCATTGATGATAAAGAACTAATTTGCGTGTCTACTATTTCACCATTTTGCATTCCAAGGGGTTCGTCAATATCTAGAGGTTTTATGACATTAATTACTCATGGATTTAAATGGTAGGACAGTTAAAAGCGTCACATTTATAGATAAACGTATAATTTAGTGCTAACTTGACGAACAGCATTCCCTTCAAGTAAAGTTTACGTCAGAGGGAGGCGATTTTGTAAAGTAAGAGACACGGTTTAACGACTTTTAAAACAAAGTGAATTTTGAGCTATTAGTATAGAGTTTTGTGTAATAAATGAGTCGTCCTTAAGACAGGGCGTGAAATTAACTTTTTTTTCTGATAGCCACTTGGCTCCTAAATTCTTCAAAGTGGTAGCCAATTCAAAAAAAGTTGGTCGCCATTTTCAAAGACAAACAAAATCTTTCTTTACGCTGTCAACGTTCTAGATAGACCCTCCAAAATTAAGTTAGGGAAAAGATCTTTAACGTGCTACAAAGTGGACACTAGGATGGATGATATACAACGTTCAGGCTCATCTAAATCCAAGATGGCGTCTAGTTATCGATCGAGATGCATGTGCTACGTTTTGGAAACAAACTTAACGAGGAAGTTTGCCGCGGATTTATCGTTGCAAATCTTTTTAATTCACTATGTCTCTTGGTAAGGTTATGATGAAACGTTCTAGTCGCCAATTTGGCGACTAACTTTCAGGATTTGGTCGCCAAAGTTAAAAATTTAGTCGCATTGGCGCCTGTATTAGGCGCAATTTCACGCCCTGCCTTAAGGTAGTCTGCGCTCAGCATTAAACAAAATAAATTTACAAAACCTAGTTTTCAAGTCATATACATGTAAACTCACCATTTTGTCGCCAAGAAATTGGGTCACAAGTCCCTTTTGAAAAGGAAACTTGTTCAATGGCCAGAATTTGGTGACCAAACTCTTCATAAATACCAAAGAATTCTAGCTGTATTGTGTTTAAAGAAAATGTTTATACATAAGTCACAAGCGTAGGAATTTCTTACTACATTAATGCTAGGGGAGTGTACTTCATAGGACATTAATCAGTCTGAAACAATTGATAAAGGATGCTTGTAATAGGAAAAAAGTGAACTTGTATACCTAGAGGCTGAATAAGTATCTCAAAACGTCATTACAGCCCGCAAAAATTTCTTCTCACAAGTCTACTAGGAAGAATTACATTTTGGTACCTTTGCTTTGCTGTAATTGCTTGGTAACGGTATCTGAGTATAATTTGTCGCACTTGCCACTTCATCCACAAAGAAGATAAGTGTGGATAGGTTCGATATTAACGACTGCAGAAGAACATGTAACGACGATTTGTACCAGTTTGTGGCACCAATGAAATACCATAAGCGGACGCACTTCCATTCGTGAGTGTTTATAATTGGGGACGAGAGTGTATAAGACACTTCAGACGCTCCGGCGCGGAGAAAAATAAATGATACACCTGGACCTAACAGTGACGTAAAAAATTAACTGCAACTATTTGATTATGGTCTGAAAGAGGTTAAGCGTCACTGGTTCAGTTTGTCAGTCATTCAGTCAGTTTGTAAGCAAGTCAGTCTGTCAGCCGCTCACCTATCCTGTCAGCAGGTATGTGCAGTGTGGATTGCCCAGTGTTTAATCAGTAAAGATTTTATACTGTGTTATTTCTATTCTAAAATATTTGAAGTAGAAAGCAGTCATAAAGTAAACGTTTGAAGTTGTCTATCAGTATCATGTCCATTTAATGGATGATTCGAATGAGGCACTGAGTCACTGAATTTCTTTTTTATTCCAAGCTTTTGCCGCTCTACGCAATCGATGCCTTACTTGGATCGGCAAAAGCTTGGAATAAAAAAGATAAACAGTAGCTCAAGGCCTCAATCAATATAAACCTTATTACAACTTCTCAGCCCACAAAAATTGAGTGAATAATAATCCTACCGTAATTTAGTAAATCTGAGTTAGGTAAGTGTTTAGAGAGAGTCCATCCTTCCCCAGTCTCCCAATCACACGTATCCTCTCTAAAACTGCAGTCTGGACTACCTAAAGATTGAAAGAAAATGATAGAAACCTTTTTCAAGTTTTGTCGAATTCATAGTTTCTATCTCAGAAGAACGAATGGAACTCAGTGGTTAGGTTTAGTAGTCTCCTACCATAAATCAGACCCTCTTGAGGGTTTTTCTCCGTGCGTTTGGCTGACACCGTTTTTCAGGTACAGGTGTCTTTTTCAAAACTAAAACGGGTTGAGTTCGATGCGTTTATTTGACAACGGATTCTGTGCCATAACCAGCTGTTGACAAATATATGTTGAACGAAACACCTTCGATTTTAAAATAAATCCTCGTAAGGACGGTAATATACTTAAAGTTAAATTGGTTTGGTCGATGTTACATTGAAACAGCAAAGTTTGTTAACCTAAGACTACTCTCCCACGAAGATTTATAGATGTCCAATCGGTCTAACTTGCGCTTACACTATGCTAAGGCAGATCTCGAATTTTTGCAGTCCGTAAAGTTACAGCCACATTTAGTGGCACATGCACGTTTGATCTGCGAATTAGTCATAGACTCACGCAAGCGCACAACTTTATACACTTTTACGTGTACTCATAAATTGACATGTGCCCTTGTGTAAAGTGCAGCTGTTCGCTTATGCAAAGTATGATTTATCTTTTCAGGTGAACGAGAATACCGTGACGGACGGACGACGAATATCGCCTTACAACGAAAATTGTCTAACCGAACAGGTTACCAAATTTGCTGAGGTATGGGGCTACGCTAAGTGCGCTGCAGACTCCGCTATTTTTGTAATTTTTTATTAGAATATCACTAAAGAGGCAGCCTCGAAATATTTCAGATTATAAAAAGAACTGTAGCGGCGTTAAAAATCATTTCAAGTAACGTCTTTGCTGCAAATAAACCATTGCTTTGCTTTCCCCTTAGGCGTTTTAATCCAAACCTTGTGCAATAATCTTCTTACAGTTTCCATCCAGTACAGACATATCATCTATTGCAATGTCACCTTCACTTCCATCACCAGTCGTTCCTTCTATGACAAACTTTGCAAACAGCATAAAAAATATACATATAATTTGTGACCACATTCTCATTAACGTTATCGATCTCCACATAAGTCAAAGTACGTAAAAAAAAAGAAAGAGAGTTACCAAGAGCGGCTCATCACCAAGCCAAGATCAGCGCATTAAATTAACCCGTCTTGAAATATTCCGATCAATATACACTTATGTGCATGCTTTGGCAAATGTTTTTTAAATTAGATTTTCAGAGAATGAGACCAGTTCCAGCCGAAAAAAATATAAGTAAAGATTACAGTTTCAAACTAAAGTTACGGCAGTTTGGAAGCTTAGCGTAACTTACCCTATGAGCCCTTTCACTGATCAGAGAAAATTGACCAAACTTCCAGCGATCCCCTTGATCGCTTG